TTTTTTTTTTTTTGGCAAAAATGCTAATTTCGAAAACGCTCATAAAGCGGCATTCTGGGTAGGAAGGATTGGAAAAAGAACACAATAATTTTAAAATTTTCAATATAATTATACAAATTATTATTTATCAAATACTCATTTACAATCAGCTACTATAATACGTCAATCAAATGAACTATTACAATCTGCTAGTAACTATTGGTTAATGCAATCAGTTATTGAATGAGTCAATGATAGATGTTAAAAAAAATAACATAACTAGAAGTATGATATTTTATATTACAATTGTGCAGTTTTCGTTACGTATTGTTATAGGGGTGTTCACGGTCCGGATTGGTCCGATTTTAGCCCAAACTATGACCAAACCGGATCAAACGGTTAATTTTTTTTCTTGTCCATAACCAGACCTTTTTTTTTTTAACCGATCAGAATTCGGACCGCGTTGGACGGTCTGATTTGGCGGTGAACCGGTTAAATCCAAAATCCTTGTTTTGGGCCTTCAATTTTTATTTTTTTCATTTTGGGCATAATTTTTATTTTTCAATTTTAGGCCCAGAGATTAATTGGGCCTAAAAATTAAGAAAAACAACAATAATGAAATAGAAAATACACAATCCGTCCCATAAGCATAAGAAAACACATTTCGTCTCATAAACATAAAAATACAAAAATGATGAAGATTAAATTATGCAAACTGAACCCAAGCAAACATTCATTTTTCAGTCAGTGTAGAAGTCATTTCAAACAACTTCCACAATATATTATATTATTTATTTAATTTATCTTTCTTTTTCAACCAACTACAATTTTACACATCACATAGTATACCACAATTAATGCTTACCATTCGAGACACAATTTTTAATTTTCTTTTCTCCATACCATATAACACAAAATGGACAATGTTCCCTTGGAGATGCTCTTATACACCAGAAATAATAAGAGCAAAACATTCATTTTTCAGTCACATCCTTTCTATGGGGGACTTGGATTGGATGTATATATATATATATATATATTTATTTATTTATTGTTATAGTCTTTTAATATTTACCAGTCCGGTCCGGTTATAGTCTTTTAATATTTACCAGTCCGGTCCGGTTAAACCGGCGGTTTGCCTTAGGTAATCCGTTAACCGGATCGGTTGTTCCGGATTTTTAAAAAAATTAACCACCGAATTTTTTACGACTTTTTTAACCGACCATTTAACCGATCCGCAGTCCGGATTGACGATTTTTTTCGATTAAAACCGGACCGTGAACACCCCTACATTGTTATGCCGACTCACACAAAAATCTTCATTTATTATTTTTCATCAAATTGGATTCTTATTCCCAGGCAAAATGCACCCCACTCACATGCTAAAACGACAGGAAGCAGGTCGTTTTTTGAGTGGTCATTGCATTGCTGGGTCAACATCTCAATGAGAGGGTATTCTGAGTTATATAATATGTCACTTTTCTCTGATACAATCAATGTATATTTGTAAGATTTTGAGCTTTATTTGTCAGATGGAATCTTGTTTTACAATGTATTCTTGCCAAAGCAGGAATTCATTCCCACAGTGCACATTTGTTTTGGGCACAATGGAATTTGTACATAAATAAGGGGCGCAAAAGCAAACAACCCGACAAAAAATAAAAATAAATAAACTAGTACGACTTAATGAATCACGTCAATATTTAGAAAATGCTACAATCCCGTTACGGAACTATTTCAATTGAAATTTGTAACTGTTAGATAATCGTGTAATCGTCGTGGATAATTGATGAACAGGAGTGTTATCAACGGGTAGAATCTCCCTTTATGGTTATAATTGCATTTTCAGATAAAATATGCACACTTAACACTTTTGACTCATTCTAGAAGCATCTAATTAGATGTACATTTAGTAAGCAGACAAGATAAATTTAAATAAATTTTAGTGTTCATAATATTGACAAAAGCTGTTGATATATCAAATTATGATTCAATTTAATATACATTTGAAGAGGGAAGGAGCACAGCTATTTTAGATTTTTTTATTTTATTTTAAGAAAATATGAAAGAAAAAAAAAAAGAACTATCATATTAGATACTTAAAATAAATGTTTCAATTTCAATAGCTATGTTGATAGGGAAATGAACCTTGCCATGTGTGGTGGTGCCAACGAGTGAGAGAATCGAATTTCGTTTCTTTTTTTATAACTTTGAAAACTCTGTACGCAACCATTAAAACTTTGGGTCCCTTGATTTGGATTCCTTAAAATAATTGATATCAAACAAATACCCACCTCCAACTATATATATTTATTAATCAATTAACAAATTCATTTGTTTATTTATATTTAAGAAAAAATTAGATAATTTTTATTCTTATAAGCATTTCCCTACCTCAATACATAATTTCAACAAGACGAGAAGGAGTAATTCAGTTGGTAGCACTCGAATAAAAATCTTTCTCAATCGGACTAACGGCCACAATCAGGAGAAGGAGTTTCGAGTTCATAAGGAAGAGAGGTGAGCCAAGGAGTGTTCGCCCAAGGGAAAGGAACGTCATGCTCGACATAAACGAACTTGTGTTTCCATTTGGAGACGTTAGAAAGAATGTCGGCATATGAAATGGGCGCCATTTCGGTTTTTCAGATACAACTCATTGCTTGTTTAGAGGACACATAACAGTAGTGGAAGAAGTCCTTGTCGAAACGAGCCAGTCGAACATGAAGTAGAGATTTTTCCTATACGAAATTTTCAAAACTAAAATGAAGCAAAAAATGTAGGAACTAAAAGCCAAAATTAAAAAAAAAAAAATGAAAATTGATATTGAGGAGGGCAAAGGATGAGATCACAAGACACCCGCTAAAACACAACTGTATTTGCCTATGAATCCCGTGGACTACCGTTTGTAACTATCAGTCAGCACTTCGAAAATAGAAAAAAAAAACATACAATTTATTATATTTATCCTATGCACCGCTTCTCCTTAAAATATAAATAAATAATTAATTAACATCGGTTGCTATTATCCAGAGTATATAAATAAATAAATAAATAAATCGATGTAATTTAAGGGAAACGCTACAGTACCGTTATGAACCAATTCTGTCAGAATTTGTAGTCTTTAGATCATTATGTAACCGTCGTGAATAGTTGATCTAACGGTTACAAATCCCGACAGAATGGTTCCGTAACGAAACGATAAAATCTCCAATAATTTAATCTGGAAAGCACTTCAAAAAAACTACCAAATACTACATTTGAAGCGGGCACAGCTATTTTACATGCCTTACCAACCCACTCAGAACATGTCTTAATTCTTAGTATAGCTTATGAATGTATGCAATGAATGAATGACCTACCACTATTCCTATTTCCACCAACATTTCTAAACTTATCCCATTTTTTTTCCTTTACTTTTTTTTTTTCAAAATCATAAATAAATCTTTCATCGACATAGCCCACCACCAAGTCCACCACAAACTTTTTATACCGACAATTTAATCGTTAAACGGGTCGACTCGTCGTACATTTTGCCAATTCTAAGTTAACAAAGATAAGAGAAACTTGTACAATGACCTAATCTTGGTAAACGGGTCGACTCGTCATATATTTTGTCGATTCTAAGTTAAGAAAGATGAGAGAAACTTGTACAACGACCTAATCATTAGTCCGCGTCATATTTATTTCACAAAAATGCATGTTTATATTAGGTAATATCATATTACTTTTACGTTAAAGGGTATAAAATTGTCTAGCCTTATTGTCTAATTGCAATCTTCATACCAAAGAGTAAAGAGATAAAGATGGTTCGTTTAAAAACTCATTTAGTTAACAAGTCGAACTAGACTCATCTCGAAAAAAGAGATTTTTATATAATCTTCTATAGTTCGGTTCATGCAGACTCGAAGTCAGCGTATTAGTACTAATAAACGAGTCGAGTTGGAATTCAGTTATTGGCACGTTCACTTAGACTATCTTTATTCATGACCTAACCCAACCCAACCCAACCCAATTCTTTTAATAAAATACTCATTTCTCTCTCCTCCACATATACAACCCACAACC